AGTCTTTTTGTAAGGGTTTCTGACGCTCCTAATGAGGAATATAAAATATTGTTGATGCTAACTATTTTTTACGCGAATTTTGAAACGTCAACTCGAAATGCAAAAATTTGTCACCACGAGGAATCGAACTAGGGACCCCTTTTCTGGTATTCAGAGGGCCGTTCAGGAAAAATGAACCATGGTTCTGTGGTTCCCGCATGTGCCCCAATGTCATGCAAGAAACCATTTTGAAAAAGCTTGGCACACCCTGAACGACCTCCCTTGTCGACTCTTTCCAAAAACTACTCCATTTCGGAGGAAACGAGTGTAGCGAAGAAGGGTTTTGTCGTAGCTAGATCAATATTCCTACCAATTATTTTTCCGAACTCAAAATTCTACACGATGCATTATTTACCTTTACATTCTTGCTGACCAATGTGGCGTACTGTCGATATGAAGGACTTCTCGGTAGTTTATCAAGACAGAAGACAATTAGAGAATTTTCATACACTTTGTTCGAACTGGCGACGCTCTGAAAATATTGCAAAAATTGTGACAACTTATCCTACTCGGAAGATGGGGTCAACCCTTCGCTGTGCGGTTCCTAACGGGTAGGAGGAGGAGGAGGTCGTATCCGCGAGTTCTGGTGAGGACGTATTGAGGGTCGGTGTCGAAAAGGGGAGTCTATTTGTGGAAACTGAAGGGGCCGTAGTAACGGGTACGGCGGTCGTGTTCAACAGGTTTTTGAAAACTTCTAAACACTACCGAAAAACGAGTTATTAAAAGAGTGTAGCTCGCGGGATAGGGAGTCGTACGGGAAACTCCTCTAATGCTGATGGTGGTGGGGTCGGAAATCTCCCTCTCCTGAGAAAGGGGTCGTCACATCTCTAGAAATGGAACAACGGAAGGTTGACTCGAGTCCTTACTGGTGGACTCAGCAGTCCAGCTTGCGATCCAGTACTGCCAACGTTTTAAAAAGTCTATTCTTTTACGCTTACCTGCACTTCCGACTGATCCTCAGCCAGACTATCACAAGCGGACACAGACTCTTTTTTAAGTTCTTTATGGAAATGAGGCATTTTGGAGCCCTTTTCCCTCGGAAGCGAGCCCAAAAGCGCCATTGCCCCTATCCACATGCCGCGCTCCTTCAGCATGACTACTTGGTCAGTAACAACCATAACCGCAAGCATCCGACGAACTGAGGGAAGTCTCAGGCCGTACTATTCGACCAATTTCACGGTATTCGCAACTTCGCTCATCTTTGACACGGTCCCCTATCTACCGTGTCTTCACTTATCCCTCTTCGCGACTCTTCTGAGCAAACTAATCCGCAGATCACTGGCATCACTCCCAGCTCAAAAATTCGATTGAGGTCCAGAGATAGTAATAGATAAGGAGAACTTACTGTCAGCGCTTCCAAAACCTGAGAATCCGTACTCAGTGGAGTTCCAGGTATAGCTCCATAACCATACTGATTATAAACGGCGCTGCGGAAGCTCCTGGAAATACCACGCAATTGGAAACCTTTTCTACTTCAATTGGGTTTACAAGTGAGAACTCACGAAATGTCCTTCTCCGAATGATAGGCGACGGTCGATTCATTGAGCACCTCGAATCTCACCACTCCAAAGTATCCGAACGAGTTCGCCACTTCACTCATCGTATTCACATAAAACGTCTACAGCGAAAACATCAGTTGTTATGGGTGAAATTCCAAAAAATTAGCCTTTGAATTTTTCATTGTTACTCAACTGAAAACCCGTAGCAGCGACTATAATTTTCATTTGTCCTTCAACTTCCTTCAGTAAGGGAGCGAGGTGGGAAAGTGAGAAATGTGTCAATACAACAGCCATGGCATGTAAATTGGGCGCTATAGCACGACGACGGGAGGGGGGGACCGTGATGGTAGCTTAGAACCGCTGAAATATCTCCTGCTTGTTAGAAACGGGACTAGGCTTCAAGGGTCAAGGGGAGGGGTAAAGGGAGACTTTAGCGTGCGTAAGCAATTTCTTTTCCCTCCCGAGTTCCTATCGTTACCAGGTTCAACCTCGTAGGACTCTCGCGATAGCGCCAGAAATTGTATAGCAGAGTGAATCCTGTCTAGTCTAAGCAAACCATCGCTTAAAAGGTTGACAAACTCGCCTAGAGTGGCAAAATCATCGATTTGTGTATCGGCTGGTCCCGCAGGTCATTGTATAGATGAACTACGCTTTCAAAAGCCGTCACGATTCTACAGGAAAGTTGAAGTCTTGGCGTATCACAACAGATGACGACGTCAAGCAAATCACCGTAATACTTTTACCTTTACTTGACCTAACTTTTACCCTACACTTTCACCTATGCGACATTCAGAATTTCTTCATTCATACCCCTACTTAAATACCCTCTATTTCGGAAACGAGAAGAGCGTCGAGTGCAGACCACACACCACAAGTGACGACGGCCAAGGTGAAAAGCTTATTCCTATCACTTTTCTGGCCGTCGTAACTTGTGGTGTGTGGTCTGCACTCGACGCTCTTCTCGTTTTCCGAAATACAGGGTAAATGTAGCATGATGCAAGTTTCTGCCATAACTACAATCAGCGGCATGAATGAATACGAACGTTCGAGAAAATTGAGTTTCGCCTGGGTATTTTTGAGCTGAAGTAGGACAGGACTTGCGCTGTTTCACATTACCTGCATGGCTTACGTAGAATTTTTGCTTTTTCAAGCACTTTTAGTTGTTATTTTTATAAATCAATAAAAAAAAACCCAACCTCATAGATTGGACTTGGCAAAGTGTTGGCGAATCCATATGCAAAAGTAACAGGGTTATCGACGGGAAAGTTGACAGGAACTGAAAACGGGAACGATATCACAATGAAAACTGGGTACTTCCGACTAATTGCAAACTACGCTTTGGCGTCTAGTGGCTCTTCTTCGACTGTCGCAACGAAATGTTTCAAACCTGGTAGTGGTTGAGAAAGGTGTGGTGGTACTTGTCGTAGAGGTTACAGTACTTGTAGAGGTAGCTGTGTTGGATGAGGCAGAAGTCCATTGAAGTAGCGGATTTAGTCATGGAAGTACTTGACGTGGAAGTAGGCACGGTAGTTGTAGACGTTGGTGTGGAGGTGGTTTCAGTTTGGGAAGTACTGGCAGCACTGGTGGAAGTAGTGGATGGAGCGGATGTAGTTCTTGTCGTCGTCGTTACTGTTGTAGATGTGGTTGTTGTAGTTTGCTGCTTGTGGCCTAAAGTTTACTCCATTGATTACAACCAAAACACGTAATCATTGGCCCCTAGGGGCTGCTCCAATGTATTAACCCTTTGACGACCGTGTGGCCCGCCGGTGGGCCACACTTTCGCTCGGTGGCGACACGTTTTTAGGGTTTATTTTGGCATTTTTTATGTTTCAAAACTACACAAATACATTATCGAATTCGCGGAATAATGCGCTAATTACTAATAGTGAAATTGTTGGAGAGTTAATGATTATTGATGAAAAAATTTAGAAAGAAGTGAAGTGGAAGTGACGCATTCATAACGGCGGTCGTCAAGGTTAAAAGCAAGGTAATAAATAATAATTGACGTGAAGTAATGAATACCATTTTTTGAGTTTATGATATCTTGTAGGAATTTCTTCATTTATGCAAGAAAAAATAAGGATAAAGGATAAAGCATTTGCCGTTGATCAATCCCTTTTGGGATGCGGCACGCATTCTACTTCCATTTGTACATTCGTAGTGGCGTTTGAATGCGATGTGGCCTATACAATGACTTGCGGGGGCCAGCCGATGTACAAGTCAGTGTTTTTATCCTCCCAGACAAGTCTGGTACCAATTAACCGACCCCGGAGGGATGGAAGGCTTGGTTGGCCCGGGCGACTCACGACCCAGGATTTGATCCCCGGACCGCTCGCGTGGTAAGCGTGCCACTTGCCACTACACCACTTCCGCCCTACGCCGATGGAGATATGGAGAAAAATATCGAGAAAAGGATCATTTCTTAGCCCTGTACAGCTCCAATCCCCAAGAATCCATTTAAGTACCCTTTCACATCACTTGTTGAATAAGCAAACCTTCCACACTAGCCTATCAACTACCTCCTTCTCCCCCAAATGATCATATACTGTTTCAAAACCGATGCTTCGACAAACTGATCCAGCAAGTCCTCTCTCCAAGGTATTTTAGGACAGCATGGAAAATGGCTTAAAGGAATCTTCCACGGACCATGGACCAGTGGGCGGGACCGGAAGTGGTTTTGCGACGAAATGCATGGTAGGTACGGATCCACGTTCATGGGAAGGTTTGAAGTGAATCCTGTTCACGTTCGTGCGTTCGACACGTGGATCCGTACCTACCATGCATTTCGTCACAAAAACTTCCGGTCCCGCCCACTGGTCCATGGTCCGTGGAAGATTCCTTTAAAAATGTGCAAAAATCTCCATAGATGAATGTGTGAGCTCACCTCTGCCCATAACCAAGTTGGTGTTATTCGAGTTGCATGTGAACGATTCCTGAAAGAAAGAGAAGGACAGGTGATCAGAATCATGCCTTTTCAGCAAATTTTAATGAAGCCTTTAAGCGAAAATAATGACAAAGCATTAACAGCAACATCAAGTAAAAATCATAAGATACTTACTTTTGAAATCATGTCGAAGGCTGCCGGGCTGGATCGGCTCACCATATCTATCTCCTTTTTTCCTCCATTCTCCATAAACAGCACGGTTTTTGTGATCTGAATCCCAATAAACGGCTTTTCGTGCTAACATATAAATGTGCTGTACCCTGATGTACGTCTTAAATTTAATTCATCAAAAGCTGGTGGACAAGCAGCTCAGCGTGCTCGGGATGTAGTTAGGACCACTCTTACCATGCTTCAATCACACGCCATGAAAAA